GAGAATAAAAGTTTCGCCTTCTTTCTTTGCGTGAACATTTGGGTGGTATTATGCAAATCTTCCCACACAGTGACGTAGACATGTGGGGGTGTGTTTAAACGAGGCGTTTTAGGAGGGCATGGACAAGTCTTAACTTTTATAAAGAATATCTCTTTGGATTTGAGACTTTAGTCTTTGCAACTTTACAGATCTTCTTTATGCACCAAGAGCTTGTAACACTTCAAAGAGAAAGGAAAAATTTTAATCGCATCATATGACCCCTTTAACTTATTTTGTCTTCTGGGAAACATGTAATCTTCTGTAGCTTCTGAAGGGCAGTACTAAATGAAATATATATATATATATATATATATTTAGGCAAAATAAGAAAAATGTACACATCTTCATTCTGTTCAAAAGTTTACACCCCTGGCTCTTAATGCAGAATTTGTGTGACCTGAAGGATTTTTCTGAAGAACAGCAGGCAGTTTAACTGTTCAGGACAAACAAGGGACTCATGAACAACTATCACCAAAAAAAAAAAAACTCAGCTGTGGATAATTTTGATAACCACGCAGTATTAAGAATCAAGTGTATGTACATTTTTGAACAGGATCATTTTTATAAATTCAACTATTATTTTCTCATGTGGACTATATGTAAACTTTGTATGATCCCTCTTATTTTGGTAAAATAATTAACATTTTGCAGATTCTGAAAGGTGTATGTAAACTTTTGACCTCAACTGTATCTAAGCCTAGCAACCAGCATATGACTAGCATAGCAAAACTCTCACAACTCCTGAAAAACACCCTATCAACTGCTAACAACACACAAACAACCACCCAGAATGCCCTAGCAACCACATAGCAATCTATCTATCCGTCTGGAAGTCTGCAATGCCTTAAAACTTTCAAAATGTTAAGTTTTTAACCTTTAAGCCTAAAACTGGTTCAAAGCTTTTAAAACTGCATTACATTTAAAACCACTTCAGGCTTAAAACCTTCAAACTTCAAGCTTTTCAAACTATTCATGAATGAAAATTCATATTTGAAAATTAAAAAATGACCATTTTATTTTTAAGTTTACTATAAAATAAATGTATTTTTATTTAACACTCCCTTTTCACGCTTTATTATTTTATTTAAAAAAAATAAAAAAATAAAGTGCAATAATATTTTCATCCCTTTCCTAAGGTCCACAAACATACCTCTACACTCCTGCTCCAATGCACTGCGGTCTAAATCACCTACAGTGAGAAGAGATCTCCATAAGCTGACATATATAGTGTATAAAGTAATATACAGTTTTCAGTATAGTATAGTATAGTATACAGGGTTCCCACGGTCACCTGGAAATATTAACATTGTTTTCCAGGCCTGGAAATGAATAAGAACTTCAAATGCCATGGAAATTCCAGGAACAATCAAACACCACTCACATTCCCATTCCTATAGCGTTCCTGTAGCTCAAACAGTAGAGCACAGAGCTAGCAACACCAAAGCAATGTACTGTAAGTCAACAAATGCAACGTAAGTCGCTTTGGAAAAAAAACGTTTGCCAGATGTGTGAATGAGATTTCATATTGATGCATTTTCCAGTTGTAGAATGTTCTGTTTTAAACAATATTTATGTAGTACTGTATAGTAAAGGATATATTAACTGACCTACTTCCAGTGAGAACTGTGGTTCTTTCTTGTCAGTGCATCCCAGAAGAAAAGATTCATTAACAATGTGTTTGTCCTTTCCAACCTTTTCCAATATTTGTTCCAAATCTAGAGAAATGGGTATACAATTATAAAAATTAATATGCAAAATCCTTTTATTTATGTAACGGAAGTATTTAAATGGGGCTGTATTGAAACCTGAGGTTTTTAGAGAAGCCAATTTGTAACCACTGCCACTGCTAGTCTTTCGCAATAGAGGAGAAAGCTTATGATACAGTAGAACCTTCCCAGACTTCAGTGCCTCTCGACATGCTTCATCGTCCTCCTTTAATCTCATGAGGTACCTAAACAAGAATATTATACTTTATATTAAAAGGTAAAAAAAATATATATACTTGAATTGTACAAAATTTATGCCGGGAACTACTACAGATAATACTTAATAATAACAACAACTATTTATTATCAATTAATAATAACAATAATAAAATTAATAAGTTCTCAAAAAAAGTGACAGATCAAAAGTTGAGGTACATAAAAAAAAAATTAACACACCAATCACCGTTTCATGTATTTTTGTTAATGAGGTCATTGACCTTAAAAACCAACACATAAAAGATAAAGAAAACAAAGCCTGTTTAGGACTCTTTGCATTGTCTTTTTAAACTAAAAATCAACAGAATTGATAATTTGTATACAGATGTCACATTGCAAACTGTTTTCATTTTCTTATGTGTTAGCTATTAAATATATTTTCTTGTCTTTTTTTTCTTCTTCAAATATGACCTGGACATGTTCGTGAGAGGTTTCGGGAGATTTACAGTGCTTCAGTAAATTATATTTCCAGCCTACTCCAGTGGTATCCTATTTCTTATTCAGTGTTGGGGGTAATATATTACAAGTAACGCGAGTTACGTAATCAGATTACTTTTTTCAAGTAACTAGTTAAGTAACGCATTGCTTTATATTTAACAAGAGAATATCTGAGTTACTTTTTCAAATAAGTAACGCAAGTTACTTTTTTTTCTCCAATTTATTGATTGACAGCTCTCCTGTCCCCATGTTGAGAGAAATCAGATGTTACTGTAGTTCTAAAATAAATATCAATATGCATTAATTCATCTCACTCACACCAAAAAAAACACACAGATTCAGTATTCCTCAAAATGAATCAAAATAATGCAACTCCGAATATGACGCAAACCTGCAATAATTAAATGTTAAACATCACAAATATCCTTTATGTATTTAAACCCATTCTATAACGCAATGTCTTTGCTTCTGACCTTCGATGATCCAGTTCAACCGTACTAATAAGCACAAATTACTCTAGACGAACATTTGTGTGTCTTTGTTTATTGCTGAAGTGTGTTGAAATTTCTTCTTCTGCATTCTACTGTACGGACGTAAATTTACTTTCCCTTCAGCCTGAGGCGCATTCATTTCACTTTTGGTGTGAAAAGGCTTTTATATTTGCCAAAAATAGAACTTTTTTATTTGAAAAACATAAAAGCAAGCCCTGTCCAGATTTAAAAAGTAGCGCAAAAGTAACGTAACACATTACTTTCCATAAAAAAGTAACTAAGTAACGTAATTAGTTACTTTTTTTATGGAGTAACGCAATATTGTAATGCATTACTTTTAAAAGTAACTTTCCCCAACACTGTTCTTATTATAAATGAATGTATTTCGAAGAAGACAGACCTCATTCGTGAAACATATCCAGAGATGGAGCGTGATAGCACCAGGTTACAGCTGGATAAATGCTTGAATGACTGCAGCATGGCTGAAAGGTAATGCCTGTGTGTTCAATACAAAGGGTTTAACATTGACATTGATCATTTAAAATTGACATTGAACTTTAAATAGTTCCAACAGTCATGCAAGGTGTAAGAGAGAACTTGCCCTTGAAACAAACGTAAACTGGCAGTGCAGACTCTTCTTTCAGTATCAGGGTTTCCTGTAAATAACAGTTTCTTTGATTGTGTTCGTGGAAAGGCACTGTCAGGCGAATGAGACAAAAACACAGAACGTATAGCCCATATTGTAGACACATATGCTACTACACCCCAAATACGTCAAAGAGTTTTGTTTCGTAAAACTTTGTCGCTCTCCACTCCAGCAAGCCTTCAGTTTACATTACATATAGCACCCTAAGTAATAGGCCTACACTGTCATAAATAAATATGATTGTTTGTATAGCCTACTCCTGCAAACGACGCCTGCGCGTAACATGCACGACGTCCGTACGTCAGTGCGTCATCAAGAGCGGCTGTAGTTCCTGCCAGCGGCGAAGTGGAAACAGAGATCATATACATTACACATTATTTATATTTGTATGTCTGTACATCATTACACTAACAAAAGGTACCAAAAGCATCTGCTTTTTGGATATGCGGTTGGATATTCCTTTTGAAAGAAGTGTGCTTAATTGTATTTGTGCACTTGTAGTCTTCACATCTTTTTAAAAGCAAATGTAGGCTGCTTGCAGATAACGTAATATCAATCAAATAAAAGGGCACGTAAGTGTAGGCTACATAAAGAAAGCACACTTTCATGACTATGAAAGCACGCTTAAGAACACTTTTTAAAAAGTGCATTTGAAATAATCTCAAATCAAAAGTTTTATTTTAAAGTGTATTTGAGTCATAATATTTTGTCTTGCTTGAAAGAAGTAGCCTACACTGTAGAAAATAAGTGTAATTTTAACTGTAAAACTTTGTAAAAAATTGTTAATAGGTTAACAGTAAGTTCCCGTACTATATACAGGGAAAAACTGTAAAATATCTAACCAGACATTTCATGTCATTTTACAGTAAAATGCTGTTAATTTTACAGTTTTTAGAAGTAAAAATAACAAATCGATGTATAATTTACAGTAAAACTGTAAAGTGATATTCCCAGAATTCCCTGCATGACACTCCACATTTGAAAATATTTTGTTTAAATAATCATGTTTTTTTTAATAGTTTTTGTTATTAGTTATGTATATTTGGGCTTTATGTTACATCTTCATTAATGCAGTATTTAAGTATCGTGTGTTACCATGATGGTGTTTAGTGTTTGCATGAAAGACTCTGTGCACCTTCTATATATTAGTAGATACTTCTACTTGTAGTGAAGCTACTTGTGATGAGCTTTGATTCTTCATGTGGCTTTCTCTTTTACCACCTGCATTATTATGGTGGCTGTCAGTATGTTAAAGGTACAAAACAGATTTTAATAGCAGTGCGCCTTGTTGAATTTACTGGTTTACATTCAAATTATCTTGTTTGTAAATTACAGTTTTATACTGTTTTTGGCCGTAAATGTGTTTACAGTTTTTCTGTATGTTTTACAAAATTATTCTGTGTTATACACAGCTGCCAAAATTATTTTGTAAAAACTACAGATTTTTTTTTTTTTACAGTGTACACTTATTTTGATGTGCTGACTTACGTACAAAAGCACAATTTTAGCTGCTGTTCAATTTGATGCACTTATAATTATATTTAGTGTACATTTTATAATACATTTAAATGCAATTGCAATTAAGCCTGTGAAAACATTCAGTTAGTATATACTTAGCTATTATTTCCTTACTAAATACTCTTTTTTTAAAAATGCTAAAGTGTACTATTTTTCACAGGGGATGCAGATTAGATATGCGTAATATACTTTTTGGCCATTTAATTATGATATTCACTGAAGCACCGTGAAATGTGCAGTAGATCTACCATGTAGCTGTATATAATATCAACAGTTATTCAACTCAGTAGCACAAGTTTATCAACGTATTATGGCATGTGATAGTTATCATCACTGTACCACATACTTACAATAAATATCTATAACATTTGTACAACTTTCATTTATTTATTTTAATGACGTATGCATGACTTATTTTTTAACCTTTGTCTCAGATCTCGTGTTGAAATGTGAAAATCCATTAAGTAAATATGAATGATCCCATTATGCTCTCAAATAAAAAAAAAACAAGCAGATCATTTCAATGGACCTACTCATTGCGTGAAAATGATGATACTGATAATATGAAACTGATAATATGATTTATTTATTTTCAAAAATTGCGACTCAGTTGGACCATCATTTTCACCACAATACACAATTTTGTCAAAAGTTTGTCAAAACTTGTCTACCAAGTTCTGTAAAATATGCTTGAAAGGAATATGAGCCATGTCACCCATTAAACAGGGTTGAGTTTCCAAAAATCATTATTCCTAAATAGACCTGAGAGACCATTTGTATCAATGGTAAAAGTAATAAAAGCCTATAGTACATACAACATTTGAAATGCATATATTCTAGTATTTCAGGTGTGTGTTGGGAGCATAGACTGTATAAAAACATGCACGTGGTGTCCGTGACGTCACCCGTAGATTTCCAAAGAGCGTTTTTGAAACTCAAAAGTGGGCGGAGCCAGCTTGGCAGCGCGTCACCGGATAATCGAAAATGGGCAAAGAGGCGGGAGCAGGTTGCTGAAGCCACGCCCACCTAGCTCGCCGGTGGTGACAGCAGCGGCAATCCACCTGTCACTCAAGTGGCCACGCCCTTAATTATGCAGAACTTTAAGGCTTAATAAAATTTAAACGGATGAGTTATAAAAAAAATTCACCTCCCTCACAGTTGTTATGAAGGGCAAAATTAGCTATATAGACCAAAACCATTTTTTGAACCAGGCTGTAAACGTTTTTTTCTGCTGTAAAGTTGGGCATTTTAACATGGGGAGTCTATGGGATTGACTCCCTTTTGCAGCCAAGCCTCTAGCGGCCAGTTGATGGATTACAGTTTAATCACTTCCTCGTTGGCTTCGCGAGAGAGAGCGGGAGGTTGCCGCTTTCTCGCTTGGTTGGGAGACTGCAGTACAGTTTGTCTTTATGAACAGTAGATGGCGCTGCAGCTCAATCATTTGTCCTCTGAAGTTCTATCCACAGTTCAGCAGCGCTGCTCTCCACACACAGCTCAGTCTGTGTAGTTTTTTTTCACAGTTACAGTGCACAGTTATCAAATCCAATATGTTATTCTAAATGTAAAGCAGTATATTCCCTAATAAAAGAGTAATATATTTAAAATGCATTTATTTCATATTAAGTATAGTTTAAATCGATTCACATATTTACCGAAATATCGCTTGAGACTGATATACAAATTGTAATTAAACTTTATTTGGAGGATCACCAATACATGTAATGTCCAATACAGTTTTTCACCGTATATAGTAGGGGAATTTACCGTTAAGCATTTAACAGGTTTTTACTGTAGCATTTTTACAGTCTTTTACCGTTAAATTCACGGTCATTTTTTTACAGTGTAGCCTACTTAGCATGAAATAAATATACTTCAAATACATTTTAGCATATTTATTTTTTACTAGAGTTCAACATTTGACCATGGTAACCATTTTCCATCAGAATACCACTAACTTACTTCAACAATAGCATCGATATCATGAAAATGAGTTAATACTTCATTTATGTTTTTATAACTTGTTACATTTATTATACATATAATTAATTATGGTTTTAGTGAACTTACTTTTGGTTTTACTTACATTTGACTGAATCCTTGCTAGGACTAGCCTTACTACAAGGGGTGTAGTCCTTTTCTGTTATGGTGACCACATCCACTAACCTTCCCTGACTTGACCCCAGGCTATTGCTTTTTTAGTGTATCCACTGCAGGATTTTAGGCAAGCCTTTTCTGCAAGTTAACACTAGTTCCTTAAAGGTTTAGTCAAGTCAGATGTTCTGATCACATTCTTGTCTTTTTGAGTTAAGCATAACATTTTTAACAGGCACTTGTTTTCACAGGAGGAATCTAAAGCGGTTTGTTTGCTACTGTTTTCTGGTGTTATTTGTGTCTGTGCAAATTCCTTGTTTTAGCAGCTGTTTTCGCTCCTAACAAATGGTTGAGTTTTCGGAAACGGCTGGGGAATGCATTTGTAACCTGTTTTGCTTTTGTTTGCTTTTCTGAGTTTTTCTGAGTTTAGGTCAAGCGACGATCAGAGCACCGTTTTTCCAGATATGCATTTTAATGATCGAGGAACCGCTGTTTTGCCTTGTATCAGTCAATAACTTTGGTTTGGAAAGTTAAAAGAAGCCCATATTCTTACAGACCCGGCACAATCTGACACATAAAGCTGTTAGGTTCTAGTTTCTCTTTTGGGGGTTTTTTGAACAGGTAAAATGAGTGACTCTCAACCTAACCAGACACCCATTGTACGAGTAACCTACTAAAACACAATGAATTGTTCGAAATACACTGCTGTGCAGTTTCTATTGTGCTTGAAACCACTTATAAACAAAAGTGAATAGAGGTCATATTAAATTAGCGAGATAAACAAACTGATATATGTGACCCTGGACCACAAAACCAGTGTCATAAGGGTCCATTTTTCAAAATTGGCTGAAAGCTGAATAAATACGCCTTCCATTGATCTATGGTTTGTTAGAATAGGACAATATTTGGCCGAGATACAACTATTTGAAAATCTGTAATCTGCGGGTGCAATAAAAATCAAAATATTGAGAAAATCGCCTTTAAAGTTGTCCAAATGAAGTGCTTAGCTATGCATATTACCAATCAAAAATTAAGTTTTGATATATTTACAGTAGGAAATTTACAAAATATCTTCATGGAACATGATCTTTACTTAATACCCTAATGATTTTTGGCATAAAAGAAAAATCTATCATTTTGACCCATACAATGTATTTTTGGCTATTGCTACAAATATACCCCAGTGACTTAAGACTTAGGTTTTGTGCTCCAGGGTCACATATGAGCAATGTTAACTTATGCCATATGATACTAGGATAAGTTACACTTAAAATTTGGGTTTTGTTCAAAAGTGCAAGAAGTCTCTTATGCTGACAAGGGCTGCATTTGTTCGATCAAAAAGTACAGTAAAACAATAATAATGTAAGATATTATCACATTATTATTATTATAGTATTATTTTCATTATAATTGTGATCAATTTAATGCATCCTTGCAATAGAAACATATATATTTATAGAATTATTTTCCTTTGGCATTCAGTTTTTTGAAGCACTGTGATTTGGGATTTTTATCTTGCGTACTATTTATGATGGATGGAATGCAAAAAAAAAAAAGTCAGGGAAGGAAGAAGTTTGTGCAATCTGCTCAGTTGTTCTGCTCTATTTATAAATTGAAGCTACAGGCTAACTGAATGCAGTCAAGCTGATGGCGGTGAGCTGGCAGCCCCTTCTTGTTTCACAGTGCCAGTGGGATTTTGTGTGGACAATCTGTCTGGTTCAGAACAACTCGTCACGCCGCATGTTCTTGTACGCTTCACTGCAGAGTAATAACAGCTGAAATACATACGGCAGCTGTGAGAAGTTATTATTCTGTAATGGTATCAAAGGGCTAGTTCACCTGAAATGAAAGTTCTGTCATCATTTACTCACCCTCAAGTCTTTCCAGACCTGTATGACCTATTTTCTTCTGTGGAATATACATGTCTGATTGTTGTTTCCCCTCACACAATGGAAGTCAGAGCTATTTGGTTCCCAACTTTCTTCACAAACTGTTATTTCTGCAGAAGAAAGAAATACAGGTTTGAAATGACATGAACTTTCATTTTTGGGTGGACTGTCTCTTTAATAAACACTTATGCAACTTACACATGGGTTATAAAAGAAAATGATTTGTTGAACTCGATAGACTTTCTTTATCACTTTCTGATTTACACGGTTTCTGGTGTGTGTGTGTGTGTGTGTGTGTGTGTGTGTGTGTTTGTAGCATGTGTGTGTACATTTGACTTTACAGCTCAACTATTTTTCATCTAGATGTAATGATTTTGATTCTTCATTCAGATGCAGTGTGCCCATGTTTTGCATAAACTATTAACCACTTCCATATCCAAGAATTTTTCCATGGGAATTTGCTATTTGACTAGAGTTGATCGACTGGTCTAGGTGAACTAACTTCTTCTGGTTATGTGTTAAAGCTGATGGCGGTGAGCTGGCAGCCCCTTCTTGTTTCACAGTGCCAGTGGGATTTTGTGTGGACAATCTGTCTGGTTCAGAACAACTCGTCACGCCGCATGTTCTTGTACGCTTCACTGCAGAGTAATGACAGCTGAAATACATACGGCAGCTGTGAGAAGTTATTATTCTGTAATGGTATCAAAGGGCTAGTTCACCTGAAATGAAAGTTCTGTCATCATTTACTCACCCTCAAGTCTTTCCAGACCTATATGACCTATTTTCTTCTGTGGAATATACATGTCTGATTGTTGTTTCCCCTCACACAATGGAAGTCAGAGCTATTTGGTTCCCAACTTTCTTCACAAACTGTTATTTCTGCAGAAGAAAGAAATACAGGTTTGAAATGACATGAACTTTCATTTTTGGGTGGACTGTCTCTTTAATAAACACTTATGCAACTTACACATGGGTTATAAAAGAAAATTATTTGTTGAACTCGATAGACTTTCTTTATCACTTTCTGATTTACACGGTTTCTGGTGTGTGTGTGTGTGTGTGTGTGTGTGTTTGTAGCATGTGTGTGTACATTTGACTTTACAGCTCAACTATTTTTCATCTAGATGTAATGATTTTGATTCTTCATTCAGATGCAGTGTGCCCATGTTTTGCATAAACTATTAACCACTTCCATATCCAAGAATTTTTCCATGGGAATTTGCTATTTGACTAGAGTTGATCGACTGGTCTAGGTGAACTAACTTCTTCTGGTTATGTGTTACTGACACACACAATAATACGTTTTTATTTTTAGCAATGCATTATTATATTTTGTTTGAAGCATTCTTTTAAATTATACACTTACTAAACAGAGCAAACAAACCAAACAATATAACAACAATAACAGAGTACTTAATACAAAGACAGCATAATAAAAAAGCCTAGAGCGACGATGCTGCACACATGCTGATCCACCTGTACAAACAGAATATACCTGGAATCAAATTGCATTTCTAACTTGTTTTTATGACAGTATAGCACCTACAAGTTGCCATGGACAATAGTCCCGTACTATTTTGGTATTATTTATATTATTTTAGTTTTTATTTTAAAAAAAATGTAAAAACATTTTTTACTTTAAATAAAGAAATATTTATTGTTTTGATTTTAGTTTTAGTTTCATTTTTAATACGCTTCTAAGTATTGTTTCTGTTCTTTTTAAATATTACTATTTAAGGTACATTTTATTTCAATTTTAGTTTTTATTTATTTCTAGTTAGTAATTTTAGTGATTTAATTTAAACTTATTTCAGTTAGTTGCAAAGGTAAATTGATATTTTAACCTTTATTTTAATGAACAAAGTGTATTTAATAGTTGTAGTTTTATTTATAACCCTGCAACAGTGCAATGTATTGCAGAGAGCTATGTATACTTTTATCATCTAAATCAAAGTTTTTCTCTTTCAGGGTGTTTGTTGAAAAGGGTGAAGATGGGAGTTAGGAGTGTGTGCTGTATTTTACTCATTTCTCTGCTAAAGTCTTCCTCTGCTCACAATGACTTCTTCACATCCATTGGTATGCAACCTTTTCACCTTTTTATAAATGCATGTTTGAAATGTTCCTGCAGGTTCTAACAGGTAACATAAGCCTCCAAACCCATGTTCATGAATATTTACCACTGATTATACATTAACAGAACATTAGAAGATGCAGCTGACAGTAGGCCTGTCGCAATAATCAATATATCGACTTATCGCGCAATATATGTACATGACCTCAATCATTTTTGGTGACGCAATATATCGCCCATTATATTTACTTAAAAATGAATGTCACCATGTTTTGTACATTCCACTCGCGCCTGTGTCTTTTGCAGCTTCTCGAGCATAACGTGGTGTAGTTGGTGCTAGTTCAAATTTAAATAATGCTTCTACAAACAGTTTCATCTGCAGATATGGTCTTGTTTAGGGATCTGTGCCTTTGTGCATGCGGACATCTGACTGCTAAGTAGTGATTGTGTTTTTCAGCAATAGTGTGCACCCTTAATTTACAGAGAAAAGAAGGTCAGGGAAAATCTGTAGATGGAAAAATCTCCAGACAAGTTCTTTGTGCATTTTTTTTTTCTTCTACTTGTTACTTTGCACTTTTTGTTAGAAAATGTTTATTTACTATTTATTCAGGTTTTTTAAGGTATCTAATATTTTGATACTTAATTTCCATGATCTAAATATTCTTAAAAATTTAAAGTTTGTTGTCATTTGGAAGTGTGTAGGCCTTCTTGCATTATTATGCTGTTACATTATGATTATATATTCAGTGGCATAAAATGGTCTTTAAAATGGCAATAATATCGCTTATCGCAATTATTTCTGGGGCAATATATTGCACAACAAAAAGTTGTTATCGTGCCAGGCCTAGCTGACAGGTGGTGTGGAGAACTAGACCGGTCATTCACTAATCACTGATGCTCATTTGAGTTCTCTCCTGGCAGGTCACATGACAGATTTGCTGTACACAGAAAAAGACCTGGTGACGTCATTGAAAGACTATATCAAAGCAGAGGAGAGCAAACTGGAGCAAGTGAAACAGTGAGTAATATCTGTTGATACAGTATCAACATTAGGCATATAACACATATAACAGGTATCTGTAACAACAGGTATAACTCATCCCTGTTTGAATTGGCAAGGAGTGATTTCTGAATGTGAAAAAAACAGAATAAATAATACAAAAATAAACATCTTATATACAGTGGGGCAAAAAAGTATTTAGTCAGCCACCAATTGTGCAAGTTCTCCCACTTAAAAAGATGAGAGAGGCCTGTAATTTTCATCATAGGTATACCTCAACTACGAGAGACAAAATGAGAAAAAAAATCCAGAAAATCACATTGTAGGATTTTTAAAGAATTAATTGGTAAATTCCTCGGTAAAATAAGTATTTGGTCACCTACAAACAAGCAAGATTTCTGGCTCTCACAGACCTGTAACTTCTTCTTTAAGAGGCTCCTCTGTCCTCCACTCGTTACCTGTATTAATGGCATCTGTTTGAACTCGTTATCAGTATAAAAGACACCTGTCCACAACCTCAAACAGTCACACTCCAAACTCCACCATGGCCAAGACCAAAGAGCTGTCAAAGGACACCAGAAACAAAATTGTAGACCTGCACCAGGCTGGGAAGACTGAATCTGCAATAGGTAAGCAGCTTGGTGTGAAGAAATCAGCTGTGGGAGCAATTATTAGAAAATGGAAGACATACAAGACCACTGATAATCTCCCTCGATCTGGGGCTCCACGCAAGATCTCACCCCGTGGGGTCAAAATGATCACAAGAACCGTGAGCAAAAATCCCAGAACCACACGGGGGGACCTAGTGAATGACCTGCAGAGAGCTGGGACCAAAGTAACAAAGGCTACCATCAGTAACACACTGCGCCGCCAGGGACTCAAATCCTGCAATGCCAGACGTGGGACACGCCATTCAAATGCTGGACGGGCCTGGCTAGGCAAACTTCAGACGGGCCTGGACATGTACTGGCTTAAGCAGGGGAACACATCTGGCACTGCAGGATTTGAGTCCCTGACGGCGCAGTGTGTTACTGATGGTAGCCTTTGTTACTTTGGTCCCAGCTCTCTGCAGGTCATTCACTAGGTACCCCCGTGTGGTTCTGGGATTTTTGATCACAGTGACACCAGAAACAAAATTGTAGACTTGCACCAGGCTGGGAAGACTGAATCTGCAATAGGTTAGCAGCTTGGTGTGAAGAAATCAACTGTGGGAGCAATTATTAGAAAATGGAAGACATACAAGACCACTGATAATCTCCCTCGATCTGGGGCTCCATGCAAGATCTCACCCCGTGGGGTCAAAATTATCACAAGAACTGTGAGCAAAAATCCCAGAACCACACGGGGGGACCTAGTGAATGACCTGCAGAGAGCTGGGACCAAAGTAACAAAGGCTACCATCAGTAACACACTGTGCCGCCAGGGACTCAAATCCTGCAGTGCCAGATGTGTCCCCCTGCTTAAGCCAGTACATGTCCAGGCCCGTCTGAAGTTTGCTAGAGAGCATTTGGATGATCCAGAAGAGGATTGGGAGAATGTCATATGGTCAGATGAAACCAAAATATAACTTTTTGGTAAAAACTCAACTTGTCGTGTTTGGAGGAGAAAGAATGCTGAGTTGCATCCAAAGAACACCATACCTACTGTGAAGCATGGGGGTGGAAACATCATGCTTTGGGGCTGTTTTTCTGCAAAGGGACCAGGACGACTGATCCGTGTAAACGAAAGAATGAATGGGGCCATGTATCGTGAGATTTTGAGTGAAACCCTCCTTCCATCAGCAAGGGCATTGAAGATGAAGCGTGGCTGGGTCTTTCAGCATGACAATGATCCCAAACACACCGCCTGGGCAACGAAGGAGTGGCTTCGTAAGAAGCATTTCAAGGCTCTGGAGTGGCCTAGCCAGTCTCCAGATCTCAACCTCATAGAAAATCTTTGGAGGGAGTTGAAAATCTGTGTTGCCCAGCGACAGCCCCAAAACATTACTGCTCTAGAGGAGATCTGCATGGAGGAATGGGCCAAAATACCAGCAACAGTGTGTGAAAACCTTGTGAAGACTTACAGAAAACGTTTGACCTCTGTCATTGCCAACAAAGGGTATATAACAAAGTATTGAGATTAAATTTTGTTATTGACCAAATACTTATTTTCCACCATAATTTGCGAATAAATTCTTTAAAAATCCTACAATGTGATTTTCTGGATTTTTTTTCTCATTTTGTCTCTCATAGTTGAGGTGAAACTTACAGGCCTCTCTCATCTTTTTAAGTGGGAGAACTTGCACAATTGGTGGCTGACTAAATACTTTTTTTCCCCACTGTATGTATTATCATCTTATCTATATATGTATACAACAGTTCTTTCTGATCCTGGAATCTGATTGGCTGGTAAGAGTGTGATATTCGAGTTCAACAGAACTCCACAACTGTATCACCGCTGTATCACTCCGCTTCAGTGTTGCCAACTTAGCGACTTTTTTTCACTAGATTTAGCAACGTTTCATACCCCCCTAAGTGACTTTTTTCCAAAAAAGCGAACAAACCTTAGCAAGTCTCTTTGACTCACTGCCACACGAGCGCAAGATCTTGCTTTCACAGCGCGCACACCTCTCTCTCTCTCTCTCCGTCTGCTCTGTAGAGAGGAGCAGCACTTTCAGTTAAATTAGATATGATGTTGCTTCTCTAATTTTACATGCAAATATAGCCAAAAACACGGCACAGGAATTGTTGTCGTCTTTGCTTATATTATGTGTATTTGATTTCATCAGACGACGGCTCGATTATAAATCAGGATTTTTGTGCAGATTAACATCTTGGAAGGGAGAGCTGGTTATGTAGTCTTAAAGGGCCACATTTCAGTCACTATTTCATATTTATCCCATTGACTGACAACAGAAAGTGTAAATTATATAAATGAAAACCATTTTATTGAGAATTTGGCTAAATTAAAATACAGTATGTGAGCACAGAGAGGCAAACAAATGTAAAAGGCAATACATATGCTAATTAACGTATAACGTCATCTAGCGACTTTTCAAACTGGCTTTAGCTACTTTCCATTGAAAGTTGGCAACACTGCTCCGCTTGCTGAAGTTGCCGTATTTCTCAGAGCGAGTGTCATGGCGGATGGCAAAATCCACTATAATTGTAAAAATAATACTGTTTTGTGTCACGGAATGTAGTTTTAAGAGTTTTTTAGGTAAAAATATACTTGTTTGGACTTCAAATATGCGGTTTGTTAATAAAGATACCGTGTATTTGAAAATTAGATTCAATGTTTCTGGAGATGTGAGCTCCAGGACGTCAGCGGCCGTTTAGCGCTCATAAACCCGCCGAAAGCGCCTCACCTCGGTCAGAACTTCTGGAATTTGCAGCTTGCTCTGATGTCTCTATAGTGGTTAAACGTGAGATATAAATTGTTTTGGTTAAATGTAGGGCTGTCAACGTTAACGTGTTAACGCATACGATTAATTCAAAACCCTTAACGCGTTCAAATAATTTAACGCAATTAACACAAGATTACTGAAACACAATTTCTATTCTAAACCTTTTTCCCGATTTCGCTTCTCTGTTTGCAATCAGATCATTTTAAGACGCTAAACTCTGAGAAAGTTTTCAGTCCAGTGATCCAGCAAGCGAATCCATTCAAGCAATCAGTCCAAAACAGGGCTAATGTAAAGAAAACCAGGCTGATTACATAAGAGATGGCATAGAGAATAGATACTCGTGTTGCGTTTTCAGTGAATTATTAATTAGTTTCTCTTTAAAATGCAAGTTCTGTGGTTGTTTCTGAAGAGCGCGAGAGCTCACTAATGCGTCGCGCAGTGTGAAATACAGACTGAATGTAACGCCAAAACATCCCACCACTGTATGATATGCGAACTACATTTTCTCAGCTGGATAAAGCAAACCAGCTTCTTTTGATGTTGGAGTTTTGATGGTTGAGGATTGCAATCAAGGGAAAGACGATTGCGGTGACATACAGGAGTCGTAAGCACGCGCGAGTCTGATACACCGTGTTTGAGCGCTCTTGATGCACAGATCATATCTTATCACACAAGCCAGTGATAAAGCATTTATCTCATTACACATGCCAGTGACAAACTGTCATCAGACAATTGATGAGCCATTTTATTTTTTTGTTTTTTTCCCCCCAGTCTTGTAATGTGGCATTGTTATATGTAGCACCATGGTCCTGGAGCAACATTTCGTTTTACTGTGTACAAGCTGCATGTGATTGAAATGACAATAAAGCCATTCTGATACTGTGTGTTGTCAGGTGGGCTGAGAAGCTGGATGCTTTAACAGCGACAGCCACACAGGACCCAGAGGGGTTTTTGGGTCACCCTGTCAATGCCTTTAAACTCATGAAGAGACTAAACACGGAGTGGGGTGAAGTGGAAGACCTCGTGCTCAAAGACATGTCTGACGGTTAGTTTCACTGTAATTCAACCCATATTAACATCTGTTTATTCCATATTTACAACTGATACACTTATTATGAAATATTTACTTTAAAATACCAATATTAGGTGACTATAAACTATTCTCAGAAATACTGAAAATAATAGAAAATGCTAACAACACCAAGCAACATGTTAAAAACATTCAAGCAATGCCTTGCAACGTTCTTTACAATCAATAAAAGACTCTTCTTAAGATGTCTAATGAGGTTTTCTGATTTCTAATTTTCGGGGTGGTGGTGTGGCAGGGGGTCTGATAATAGAGTCTGAAGTAGTTGATGTGGTTTCTTTACTACTGAGGTTTAATGCGGTCTAAAGTGGTTTAATATGGCCTGGTTTGTTTTTACTGGCATTTCTATGACTTTTTTCAAAGCTTTTAAACTTTTAAACTGCCTTTGTCAAGCCAACATCAAGGTTTTTCTCGTCAAACTTTACTATTTAGTCATTGCTTGGTATTTTTTGGAGCTTTACAGCCCTAATATACATTTTTGTTGTATGGAAAAGTCACAAATGTTTGAAATAATACAAGGTTGAGTAAATTATGACCATTTTTTTAATATATATATTTGGGTGAACTATCACAGTTTTTATAAGCACTAGGACCCATTTCTCAGCACTTGCGTTACTTTTTCAAAATTTCAAACTTTTCAAGTTTAAAACTTAAAACATAATACAACATTTTCTACATTTCTTCCATAATACCACATTAAAGATATTCCAAATCTAAAAACGAGATACTGTGAAAATGATTAGATGTAGACGAAACACCTACACAGATGTGATCATAACCAGATGATCATAACCACCAATACAAAAGGGTGAAAATTATTTTATACTGTAATGTAAACATGTACCATGTTACAATATACTGCAGATAGCTGTCATTCTTATTTTGTGAAGAAAAAAAAACAAAAACTGTATAATATATATCAACAAAGTGTGTTTGTTAGGTAAAAGCTTTTGCTAGTTTTATGGAAGGATGAGTTGATTTGAAACATGTATGGTAGTTTTAGTGCATTTTGGATGCAAATTTTTGTTGTTGTGCCAAGCTTAAAGTTGTTTGAGTTTTAAAAAAGTGACCTATGTATTGAGAAACGTGTCCTAGTGATTGTACACTCAAGATGTTCTTATTATATATTTTTTTCTTATTAAAAGATAAACATATTTTCTTCTAGGTTTTATCTCAAACCTGACTATTCAACGTCAGTATTTCCCTAATGATGAAGACCAGACCGGTGCAGCCAAAGCTCTCCTCCGACTGCAGGACACCTATCAACTGGACACACAGATCATCTCTTCTGGAGACCTGCCTGGTGAGCATGAGCTCTTCTCTTTCCAAACATACTTCAGATATACCTTTTTTGCATTTGTATGACATCTCATTGCATGTTTTCTTGTAGGTGTTACTACAGGCTTGCCGTTTAAAAGCACCATGACGGTAGAGGATTGTTTTGAGCTGGGAAAAATCGCCTATTCTGAAGCAGACTACTACCATACAGAGTTATGGATGGCCCAGGCTCTCAAGCAACTGGATGAAGGAGAAGAATCCAGCGTTGAAACTGTGACAGTGCTGGACTACCTCAGCTACTCAGTCTACCAGCAGGGGGAGCTGGAAAGAGCTCTGAACCATACCAAGAGACTGCTGAGTGTGGGTTAGTCTGATCTACAATACTCAATATAAATCATATCACAATATGGCTTAGTGTGATTGTCAAATCGTGCAGACTGTGATTTATATAATATAATATATGCTTTTCTAAATATATATGTTCAAAAAATCAAGTGCATTTTTCATATTGCAATATATTTGACAGAAAAACTGTTCCTCGGCTGTTGCTTAAATGTTGACTATTAGAGATATTTGAGACATTCAACAGTTGTCCAAACTATTACAAAATGTTTAACACATTTATCTCTCCCGTACAGATCCTGAGCACCAGCGAGCACTTGGGAACCTAAAGTATTTTGAATACCAGCTAGCCAAACAGAAGAAGGCTGAGAAGGAGCAGAGTGTCAAGGAAGAGAGCAAGAAAGAACAAGAAAAGACGGTTGGGAAAGGGGAATATCTCCCTGAAAAGAGGAAATACGAGCAGCTATGTAGAGGACAAGGAGTCAGAATGGTGAATAATAAAATACTGTAATGGCTGCATTAACGTAAATATTCACTAGAATGTCACATTAAGCACGAAATGCTGATGCATTAGCTGATTCATTTTTAATATATCAGTGCAGCTCTAGCTCCTCAGCCACCTAATTCAGCCATTTCAGCTGTTTTTTTTTACTTTGCATTGATGTAACTTGACTTATTTATAAAGGTATATGAGGTAATTAATTATTAAAGACAGGACTTTAAATTATTTATGCACACCCAAGGTGGTAATACGGCCATAACACAAAGCTCTATTTTTGTCCATTCAGTCGACCAAAGCCCAATGCATACTGCAAAAATAAGTCATAAAAAAACTCAAATGCTTTAGTGAGATGGCACTTACATAGCTTTAGGCAACTAGCGAATGAGTTTTTCCATGACAGTGCCTACCTGGTTCATCATGTTGAAACCAACTTGTAATGCTGTGAAAGAGCATGAAATACCAACCATTTTATTTATTTGTCATGGCCAAGATATAAATGAATTGTCTAATATGTAAATAAATTCTCGATCTTACAGAGCCCTCGCAGACAGAGACGTTTGCTCTGCCGTTACTACAACAGTAACAGACATCCTTTTTACATAATCGGCCCAGTGAAACAAGAGGATGAATGGGATCGTCCACGTATCATCCGTTACCATGATATTATATCAGAAAAAGAAATGGAGAAGGTCAAGGAGTTGGCCAAACCAAGGGTGAGTTCAACTTTTATACACATTCAAATATTTATATAACGTTTTGGCCACACACACACAATTTCTGTGGATAATCTTAAAGGGTCATCATTTACTCACCTCATGAGGACTTTCATTGATCTTAGAAACACAAGATATTTTTAATATTCAATCATAATCTTTGTCCATCCATTGAAAGTCCATGCAAAGATTTCAAGCTTCAAAAAGTTTATAAAGACAATGTAGAAGTAAAGTCTTCTGAAGAGACATGATCACTTTATATATGAACAGATTTAATTAAAGTATTTATTTATATGTAAACACTGATCAAGGCACATACATAGAACACATCAAATATGATGAAGAGAAAGCTCAAATGGACTTTTTTTAATGTCCATTACAAAAACATGCATCCCTAAAATTATTTGAAGGTGCGCAAGTATTTTTCCACTGTAACATGAAAGTTTCATCTCTTAAAGGGGTCATCGGATGCAAAATTAACTTTTGTTGTTGTTTGAACATAAATGTGTGTTGGATGTGAGTGTAAGCATCCATCCTATAATGATAAAAAGCCACCCAGTGGTTTTTTTTAAATCCCCTTTCTCAAATTAGGCTGTTCTGAGATTCCTGTCAGAATGACGTAGTTCTGCACAGGCCCCTCCCACGATAGTTGATTGACAAGGCCGTCTTACCTTCGACCCGCCCTGAGTGAGCTGTAATCAGTCCACCATTGTGTCGACTCCGGTTCAGGGGAAGACAAGAATGTCTCCGATTAAGCGATTGAGGTGTTTTGTTGTTGAATGTAATAATGAACATAGCAGTCGTCATTTATCCCCGTCATCTGAGCCGCTAAAGACGCAGAGGATTAACCTTACTTTCGTTTTGAAGGGAAAATTTGATCCCCGATCTGCCTAAATGCGTCTATATTCGCGCGAATCATTCGTGATCGAGCTTCATCTACACAAGAAGTGAGTATAAGGTTTTTTATTAATCTTTGCAAATTGCCTTTCCTAATATGCGCTAGTTAGCGAGTTTCGCGGCTAAAGTAAACAGTACTGCTGGTCACCCCACAGAAGAGAGGGGCGGGGTCAGCAGAGCTCATTAGCATTTAAAGCAACATGGACTAGAACGACGTGCTGAAAACAGAGCTCATTTTGACAAGGTAAAAGAATGTTTTTTTACACTACCATTGAGAAATTTTAAAGGGGTCATATGATGCTTTTTTAAAGATCATTATTTTGTGTATTTGGTGTAACAGAATATGCTGACATGCTTTAATGTTCAAAAAACACATTATTTTTCAAATACTGTACATTATTGTAGGTTCTCTATGCCCTGCCTCTCTCAAATGCTTAGTTTCAAAGAGACAGGAAAACTTGAAATCGCATCATATGACCCCTTTAATCAAAGTATGTTATAGACTTTTCATTAAGACCCTAAAGAATCATATCAACTTATATCAAATGGGCATCCGATGACCCCTTTAAAATCTGACAAACATGTTTAAAATGATGTCCACCTATGAGATGAAGACTTCCCTGTCATCAGACGCATTCAGTAACAACTGGTGAGCAAAAACCTGTGTATCCATGCCAGTAGTGACAACTGTGAGGTGTAAACAATAGTTTATTTACTGCACCTTGAAATTCATTTGAACTGTAAGTTCTTTGGTATTAGTTTCTCAATAAGGATAATTTTGTGTTAATATAAGCAAGTCAAATCTCCTGAATTTTGAGTTTTTCTATTATGAGAACACTTCTCAGAGTATCACAACCTCTGACCTGAGGCCGTTCAAAGTTATTTGTCCAGAGTGTAATCAAAGGCTCATGTAGAGTTAGAATGCTGGTGCTCAAGTTAATTAGATATCATGACAAACAGAAAGAGTGTGTTGGTCTGTAGTCGGTCACTGAGACTACAGCTGCTGTGTAACCCGTGTACTCTTGGCCGGTTGGCTCAACAGCTGCGCAGAGCCACCATCTCCAACCCCATTACTGGTGTTCTAGAGACTGCCCAGTATCGCATCAGCAAAAGGTAAGGCTCCTGTTGGCCTGTAGCACAGCCAACCCACCAGTTCTCCCTGCTGCATGCTGGAAAAGCAACTAGAGCCCATCAACTAGAAAAGCAACTAGAGCCACAAAGGGGATTTATATCACATGCATAGTATGGGTGGGTGGTCCAAAGTCAAAAGTTTGGAATAATGAAAGATGAATTATGCTTACCTCCATGTATTTGATTACAAATACAGTAAAACAGTAATACTGTAAAATAACATTACAAATTAAAAGAACTGTTTTCTATTTTAATATATTTTAAGATGTATTCCTCTGAATTTTCAGCAGCCATTACAGTCTGCAGTGTCACATGATCTTTTAGAAGTCATACTAATATGCTGATTTGCTTTCCACAAAAATATTAAGCAGCAAAATCTGTTTATAAACACTGATAATAATAATAAATGTTATATTTGTAGTATATACTTTGACATAATTCTACTGTTATTGCACAGTACACACCAGCCACCAGCCCATATGCATAATAAATAGATATCCCTATTTGTTTTGCTGTTCTTGGGAATGTTGCTTTTCCACTGCTTCTTTACACACAACAGGTGAACTCGGTAGCAGTAGCAGTTCAACCCAGGCAGAAGCTATCCGCAGTGTTACATTTAAACCACCCATGCAGTCGGTGTAGTTCAGTATAACAACAGAATATAGTGACGGCACCTTTCACCTCTCTCTTTCTATCTCCTCTCTTTTTCTCTGTGCTGGCTCTATAGCTCTGGCGTGCCACCGTGCATGACCCTCAAACTGGCAAACTCACCACCGCCCAGTACAGAGTCTCCAAGAGGTAATGGGTCAAAGATGAAGGGCAGAGGTCAAATCTGTCTGCTCCCCCTTTCCCTCTTTACCCAGAATTCCCTTCGTTGGCCTTAGTCTGTTAAACAGATATTCAAATATCAGTTTGGTGTTCTTCAGACAAAAAATGCATACAGGTGTGGAAAAACATAAGAGTAAGTAAATCAGTTACTGAAAGAGTTTAATTTTCTTAGAAACTAGTGAAACACACTTCAAGGGTCAGGACATGTCTTTACATAAATACACACACACACACACACATATATATATATATATATAGTGCTGTCAAAATGATAATTTTTATTATCATAATGCAGATGATTAATTTTTCCAGTAGAACAGCTTCAGGAGAACAACAGTAAACTGCAGTCAGATGAGATGTAGTCAGGCCTTATGTCTGACTTTTATGTGTTCATGACTGTGCTCTTAGCACGCGCGCACTGTAGCTTGTATCATTTCATATTAAAGCATGAATGAAACTACGAGTATACAGTGGGGAAAAAAA